AGATCTGTGAACCATTTTGACTTGAGTTTGGTGCATGGGGGTAGACTTGGGTCTATTTTCAGTCTTTGGCAGGAGGCAAGCCAATTTTTTCAGCACCATTGATTAGAGAGGCTGACTTTCTTCCAGTGAGGTGGTTTGGCCCCCTTATCAAAGATTAGATGGCTGAGTGTGTTTGTGTTTGTGGGTGTTTCTTCCAGTCTGTTCCATTGATCCTCAGATTTGTTTTTTAGCCAGTACCAGGTTGATTTTATGACAGTAGCTTTGTAGTATAATTTCAGGTCAGGGATTGTGATTCCACTTGACTTGCCATTCTTGCCCAGCGTTGCTTTTGCTATTTTGGGTCTCTTCGTTCCAGATGAATTTGAGGCATATTTTCTCAAGATCTGTGAGGTATGCTAATGGTAGTTGAATGGGAATTGCATTGAATCTGTACAACAATTTTGAGAGTATGGCCATTTTCACAATTTTGGTTCTTCCTATTCATGAGCAAGGAATATTTTTCCACTTACTGTAATCCTCTTCGATTTCCTTTTTCAGAGTACTGTCGTTTTCATTGAATAGATCTTTTACTTCTTTTGTTAGATTGATTCCTACATATTTCAATTTCGTGGATGTTATTGTGAATGTTATGGTTTCCTTAATTTGTCTCTCAGTCTGTTTGTTGTTTGTGTATGGGAATGCTATCGATTTCTGGGTGTTGACTTTTTATCCAGCTACACTGCTGAATTTGTTGATGAATTCAAGGAGTCTTCTTGTGGAGTTTTTGGGATCTTCCATGTAAAGTATCATGTCATCTGCAAATAGTGATAGTTTTACTTCTTCCTTTCCTGTTCCTATTCCGTTTATTTCTCTCTCCTGTATTATTGATCTGGGTTGGAATTTGTTTTCTTTCAGGATCTGAAATGCTTCACACAAAGCTCTTCTTGACCTGATCATCTGTGTTGAGAAGTTTTCCATGATTCTGATGGGCTTTCCTTCATAGGTGCTCTGTTTCTTTTCTTTAACAGCTGTTAATATCCTGGTCTTTTGCTCAATTTCTGGGATCTTGATTATTATATTTCTAGGTATAATTTATTTTGGTTATGGCTAGTTGGGGTTGTATGTGCCTCACTCCTTTGTACATAAGTTTTTTGTCCCACGCTTGAGAAATTTTCTGCTATTACTGCGACAAATAGTCTTTTTATGTCATTCATGTAACCACCTGCTCTGACAACGTGACAACTTCCAGCTGTCAGGCTTATATTGGTTTTTTTTTGTTTGTTTGTTTGTTTTTTGCCTCATCTTGCTGTTGTTGAGTTGTTATTTGCTGTTACTTTGTTATTTTTAAGAGCTCTTTAATTTCATAATCACTAGCTGCAATGCTGTCTTCAGGGTCTGAAAGTCTGTCTTCCATTTCATTCAAGCAGTTCTTCTAGTTTTCAATGAAATTTTTAATTTCCTGAATGTCTCTTTGAATCTATTTCATGCATTCTAATGCTTTCCTGTACTGTTCATTCAAGGTTTCCATGATTTTTCTGCGCTCCTCTAATTTTAAATCTATGTCTTCTTTTGATATGCTGAGGAATTCTTTCATTATGGTTGTCCTTTTTTTTTTTTACCTGAGCCATTATTTCTGATCTGAATTCCTCTGTAGCCTGATGTAGTTGGTTCTTTACTCCAGTTGTTTCTAAATCACTGGTTTCTAAATCTATCATTTCAAGAAATGTCAGGTGTGTGACTCCATGCTTTTCCATGTTGATGTTTTATGGATTTCTTCTGGGAGGGGAATTTGACTGAGTTTGCATTTTGCTTCCTCTTTTTGTCATTTTGAAATCTTGCTCAGTGTCCAGGGATTCGGGTTGACTTCTGAGATGGTAGCAAGGGTGTGGAGGCAGAGGAGCCAGGTGACCAGAGGGCTTACTGAGTCCAAAGACCCTTCCATGGTAGTGGAGAGGGTGGGTCCAGAGGATCCGGGGCACCTGAGAGCTCACTGAGACTTCCCAAGCCCAAGGTCCTTCTGGACAGCGGCAGTGGGGCCAAGGCCAGAGGATGCGGGTCTCCAGGCAGCTCAGTAGGATTCCTGAAATGCTGTCTTCAAGGTCTGAAAATCTATCTTCCATTTCATTCAAGCAGTTCTTCCAGCTCAGTGAGGCCCCTCCTGTGGTGGGGGCAGGTGGCAGGGCCAGAGGATGTGGGAGACTTTTCTTCTAAGCATTTCTTCCTGTGCATCTCTCTCTCTGTGACCCTTGTTATTTAGGTGTCTGTCTGGCATGCACTTTCTTTGTGTATCTGTATCACCTTTAGTCTTTCCTCTGATTCTTCCTTTGGTACTGTGCTGCTTGCTCTCTTTGCATATGCCTTCTTCCTCTAACACTTTGTGTCTTCCCTGACTATTTCGATCTTTAACTTGTTTCTAAATCTTTTCCTTGAAGTTTCTCTGTCTAAACCTTTGTCTGTAGCCACAGCTTTTCTTTCTTGCTTCTCTCTGTGTACACCTTAATTCTTCCTCTTTTACCTCTCTTACTCCCTCTTTTTTTGAGAACCCATGGCTGCATCACTGTCTCTGAGTCTCTGTCAGTCTTGCTGTCTCTCTTTAAACCATAAACTTCTGGACTCTCTACCAACCCCCGTGGGCTCATCCTGAGATTTCCTCAGCTCCCTGCCAAACGCTCAGTGCCTCCTTGATTGGTTCTTTGATGCTCCACTTGCCGATCCCAAAGTTGGTCATGGTGCTCACACAGAATCGCTGGAGGACTTTCTATCGATTTCCATTGGCAAAGGTCACACCTGATAGTGAGGCATGGAGAGAATGCTGGGAGAACTCGTGTGATGGTCCCTCCTTTGTCCCCTCATGTTCCTCCAACCTCTACTTACCAGTTCCCTGGAAGATGTGATCAGTTATCAGTGTTCTTTCAAGTGAAACACTTGAAAGAATCAACAACTGGGAACTCATCCTACTGAATAGTTTCTGCACATCTAAAGAAATCACCAGCAGAGTAAAAAGATAAGCCACAATCCTAATCCAAAGATAAGCCTCATCCTGATCCACCAGGGCTTCCCTGATCACCTCTTATCTACACAGGATGGCAGCAGTCTGAGACACGAGGTAGATTGTGAACACGTCCCCATATTTCTCCCGCAGCTCTGAAGAAGGGTCCACATCTCACAATCTCACCTGTGGGAACGTTTCCACTGTTACACTTGGATCTTAGCTTCAACTGTAGCCTGAGTTTTCCCAACTTCAGACCCATGAGGAAGAGCAGAGACTTGGACTCTTTGTCTTCTTTCAAGCCCCACAAACAAGCCCTTCCTCTAGTGTCCTTGTCTCTTGGCTCTACCAAAAGCTTCTCAGCCTCAAATTTTATTATTTGCACTAATTCCGCACATCCAATCTCTAGAACCTCTCCTTTGCTCACCACTGGAACAAAATTTAAACCCTCAAATCTATGAAAATTTCTCCTCCAATTTACTCTCTCTCTGTCCATTCTGAAGGAATTCTAGAAGCTTATGTGAGTGGTCCTGAGGGGGGCTGGAATTATAGAATTCCCAAATTCATCTGGAGAGTCCCACCCAAAGCTGGATCCTCAAACTGCCCTGTTACCTGTGAGCTCTGTGTACTTTTTGCCACCACTTACCTTGTTGGTGCTTCTCTTCCCATACCACCTGTTGGAAGGATTTGAAAAAACCCTTGGAGAATATTAAAAAATGTTCCCCAGGAATGGTACAGGCCAAGGTCCAAGTGGAAGGCTGCCATCCCAGTGGGGCAGCCTCTGATTGAGAGTAGCAAAGGACAATCAGGATGAAGAAGAAGATGAAGTCACAGAGCTCCATGGTCTTCTCTCTACCAACCATCCACACTTCAGTCTTCCTTGAAAAGCAGGTTGCTATAGTTGTTGTTTTCCCTCCTTTGGTTGGTGGAGGATTGTGTGCCAGGAATCTATCTTGGCAGAAACCCTGGAACGTCTCCACTAGATAGAGTGAGCCCAAAATTTCCAGCCCTTGCAGAAGCCCAGTGTTCAGCATACCAGGGATGAGTCCCAAAGCCAGCCACCCCTTTACAAGTGACTGGCTAGGAAAGTCTTCATGGGCAAAACCCCCAATATACAACAATTCTCTTGGGAAAGTGCAGGACGTGTGGATGCTGCTTCCATAATGAAGGTGGTTCTAGCCTCATCTTCATGAGCAAATGTTATGCAGGGCAAGATATCAAGAGCAACTGGAGTGAGATTTGCAAACATCGGGCCCTTTGAGGATAGGAATTTTTTTGTTATCAATAGGAAGTGAGACATGGAGAAGGTGACATGCTCTGAAAGGAGAGGTCTGGCTCCATTGGAAGGAGGAGGTTAAGGGGTAGCTGGTTTAGCCAGTCTTTCATCTATTGATTCATCAGCAAATGTTTGCAGCAGGTGTCTTAGGCCACACCCTGCCCCAGGTGCTGAAAACTGAATAGTGAAGAAGACAACAGGTTGACATTTCAAGGAGCTGGCATGGAAGTGTTGGAGGTGCTCTCACAAAACGTCTCCCTGAAAAGGCCCTAGGGACCTGACAACGGATAGGTCACACACAAAATGGCAGGGATCACCTTCTGACAGGGGGATCAAGTTTTCCAGGTTTATTTGATTCTCAGGAGATTTAAAGCAAAATATGAGGGAATCCATGGTGCCAGTACACAATCACACAGTTCAAGTGGTGGAGTCCAAGCATGCCTTCCACAGAGGAAGAAAAACAGTGCAATGCAGCTAAGTAGCAGAATGAGGGAGGCCAGAGGCAGCATATGACTGCAGTATTTAACATCATAGAACCTTAAAAATGTTATGTCAATATTTTTTAAAACAAATAAGCAAAACATCACAGTTTGTATTATTCCATTTATATGAAACATCGAGAAGACCAGAAGGCAAACCACTGAGACAGACATCAGATTGGTATTTCCAGGGGCTGGGGAAAGGAGATCAGGGAGTGGCTGCTAAATAAGTACAAGGTTTTGGGGGAAGGTGACAAATATGTCTGAAACTAGAGTGATATGGGTACTGTAACGGACTTCTTGGGTCTCTTGTTGTACCACAGGAAGGAAGAGTAGGTTATGAGGAAAATAAAAGCAAGAGACAAATGCTGGGTTAGGTGATGGCAACCTCTTACCTGATGTGCAAGGGGACCTAACATCAACAGTAGGAATGTTTATTTATACTCTTGCTATGTTGCCTAGCAACTATTTCCAGGCAGGATGCTTTTTCAAGACTGAGATGGTGTGACTACTTGAGGCACTGTGGCTCTGTCCTGCCCTCACACATGAGATCAATTTCCAGCTCCAACCTCTCCCAGAGGTACCATCTTCTGGATGAACTATGTAGCACTTAATTGTACATGTTAGAATGGTCCATTTTATGTTAGGTTAATTTCATCTTCATTCAGTGGTGCAACAGTGAAGAGTTTGAGCTTTACACTGGAGGATCAATCTGCTCCTCCACTCACTGGCATTGTGACCTCAGACAGCTGTTGCCATTGTCTGATCTCTCTTATTCATCTGTAAAATGGGCATGACCCCGGCACCCATCACCTGGGGCAATGGAGAGGCAAATTTTTACATAGAACTATTTAGCACAGAACATGGAACACAAGGAGGTGACAAACACAGTGTGTGATCATTCCTAGCAAGGAAAAAGTCATTCGAAGTGAGCTGTATCCTGGGAGGCAGAACTCCAGACGGCCCTTTGGGGCAATTTGTCACTTTTAACCCCTAACTGCTTTATATTTCACAAAGAAGGGGCTTGATTATTGTTGATCCACTTCCTAACTTCTGCACCTCAATTCACACAAGAAAGGAATCAACACAGAGCTTTAGAAAAACTGCAGCAGTATGGAAGGAAGCCTACAAAAATAACTTTTGCATGGGGGTGGGGGAAAGATGCTGGTTCACAACAGATTTCTTAGATGCAGAAAGTGAGCTGTCATTCTCTACAGTTAGGCACTTAATGAATCTGCAATCGTTTATTCCTCTCCCCTCAGTCCATCTTGCGGGGCAGGAAAGAAATCTCGTATACTGGGGGTACTCTGCCAAAACCAACCTCCTGGGGAGTGAAGTCAATGTCCTCAGGCGGCACTGGGCTGGCTATGGAGAAGTTCTGGAGGATGGTGGTGAAGAAGAGGAACAACTCAGCACGGGCAATTCCTTCCCCAAGACAGATACGCTTCCCTGTGGACACAGAGGATCACAGGGTAAGCCAAGGTGATATTCTTTGCGCTGTCATAGCTCTAATCTTAGACACCTGTGGCCATGGTACAGGCATAACCTCGAATCAGTAATTAGGAGTGGACTTAAAGGAGGTTCCTAGTGCTTCTGATACTGAGCAAAGATCTTTGTGTGGATGTTCAGTGTTCAGTAGGAGTTAGGAGATACAGAAGTTTGTAGTTTTATTTGATTTCTAAAGGGTTCAGTGGCCCTATATGAGATAAGGACCCATTTGTGGGCATGTGTAAGTATAAAAGTATGTGAACATGTATGAAGAAACATTTTTGGTGTCCATTTCTCATAGGAGGAGACTATTACCCATCTCATAGGGCTATTGTGAGAGTTAGGTTACTATTCATAGGAACTCAAAGTAATACTAAGTTCATATTAAAAATCTATACTCTAGTAACTGTTTTGTGTTTTTTTCCTGAGTGGGAAGGTGTTTCTGGGATTATGTGCCTTTGTGTGTCTATCTGTCTTTTTATCTCTGTCTCTCTTTCTCTGTGTCTATCTCCTCTCTTTTCTTCTTTCCTTCCCTCCCCTTTCTCCCCGCCTTGGTTGTTTTCTGGTCTCTTCCAAGAGCTTCAAGCATGTACATACAATACACTCATACTGTACATAAAATTATAAATGAGACCGATACACAGGAGGTGTGATTTATGGCCCCAATGGTTTCTCAGATGTGTAAGGAATCACACTACTATTTTAGAAATCTTGGGCTTGGGGTGGAATGAAGGAAAAGGGAGCCTCAAATTCAGGCAGATGCTCAGAGAGACTGCCCCCTACTTCAGTGCTTCTTCATCTGCAAACTGATGACCTTGAGAAAGGCCTGTCAAGGATGGGTTTCAGGGCATACCCAGTGCCTTTCAAATCACTGGGGCATTGTACCTGCATGGAGGTATCTGGTGAAGTACCCACTTCCCTTGGATGCATCCAGAAATTAGGAAACATGGGATTAGAATTACTCAGGGAGGCCCTAAATTGGTTCTTGCCCCTGGAACTGGTACTCTTACCCAGATTTTGCCAAAATACCCTGATGCCTTGTCTGCATACCCTGTCCATCTGTGTTTATCCATTTGAGCAATTTTTGATAGCTTTTTCATTATGCTCCTTTGGCGCGGTTTATCTTTCTTTCATCCCAGGGTAGCCTGCATTTGTTTTTGTCTACATATATCAGGCCCTGTTTCTATGTCTGTCTTTTATTTCCCTCTTCTCATTCCTGTATTCTGCCATCTTAACTCCTTGGCTATATTTGGATCTGATTCATTCTCATTCAATCTCAGTCTCTGTTTCTCTCTCTCTGGCCCTGGACCAACTCCCCCACCATGTTGTCTCTTCTTTTCTGTCTCTTTGCCACTATCTCTCCCTGTATCATTCTCATATTTCGCTATTGCTTATCTATCTGCCCCTGTCCTTTTTTACATCTCTGTTTTCTATATACTGAGGGTAGAACTTATGAGTGCAGGAACCGAATCTCCTCCAACCACCCTATGTCTCCCAACTCTCACTGAAAACAAAGTTGGCCATTGCACCGTGTCACTGAAGTCACTGATAGAACTCAAGGCTAAAGACTTGTTACTGAGGAATTCCTTCCTCTCAAACGATAAGAAAATTGGACATTGGGGTTTTCCCTGGAGGAAGCCTGTAAATTTTGGTGTGAAGCTGCCAATCTGTACAGAAAATTGGAACCTAACTCAATATAAAAACAAACTATGGCTGACTTGAGATGTACGCTTGGCACAGGTAACCAAGCGTCAGCCAATCTTAGCAGTCATGCTTCTGACAATCACAGGCTGCAAACTGTTCAGAGAAATCCACACAAAGCAAAACCAGATAAGATTTTAAGAACACATGTAACCTTACCATGAAGTTCCAGATCTAAAAACATTGTATTCAAGTTGGAGGAAAGGGAACTGAAGCGATTGTCTGGTTTGTTTGATTTTACATGGTTCACATATTAAGTGTACAGCTGACCACCATCAACCTGGTAAGTTTGGCGAGCATGAGGGACATCACAGTGCAACTCCTCTGCAGCAAAGTCATATCACTTTTTATTATATTTTAATCAGATAATACATTCAATTCATACTTTTCTTCCAGTAAAAGAACTTTTGAAACTGAATGAAAAATTTGTTTTTGAGACAGGGTCTCGTGATATACTTTAGGCTAGCTTTGAACTCACTTTATACCTCAGGCTGTCCTTGAACTCACAGTGATCCTCCTACCTCAATCTGCTGAGTGCTGGGATTACAGGCACGTGCCACCATGCCCACTGAATAAATATTTTTAAAATGCACAAGAAGCTAAATTACAAGAAATGGAAAATTAAGAGCTATTTTTTCACTGTCTATATTCTAAAATATATATTTATAGCAGTACAGATATTCTCCTGCTTTATCAGGGTGATATGGACAGATGCTAAAATAAAAATTTCTTCATCTAACAATATTGACCCACATCGCTGGAGGGAAGTAAGGTTCATGCAAAAACAGCCTGAGAGAACGGTCGTGGTGGTGCAATCCCAACACTTGGGTGGCTGAGGCAGGAGGATTGCCACAGATTTGAGATCAGCTTGACTACATAGTGAATTCAAGGTCAGCCTGAACTACATAGTGAGGCACTGTCTCAAAAAAAAAAAAAATCGAGAAAGAGAGAGACTGAGAAATAAACTAGTTTTCAGCTGTGTTGTGCTTTGAGTGTTGCTTTATAGCCTAGTCCTGAATTTTAATTTACCTGGATAAATTTCAATTTAAATAACTTTGGAGAGCTGGTGGCCCAGATGGTGGTAGCAAATAAATATGAATTGTGTTTCCTCAGTTGAAAAAAAAACAAAACAAGCCAGAGTACACCACGGGAACATGGACAGATGAATGTGTCAAGACCTTCCCGAAATCCTCATTTCTCTAGGAAAACCCGAGTTCCTCTCTTAGCCCTCTAGGCCCTCCCCAGCTAAGCTCTTCACCCGGTCCCCTTTCCTAAGCTACACACCAGAGCTTTTTTGTTTATAAAATGCATCATGACGATTCCACATTCAGTCTCTTTGTCTTTGCGGTTCCCTCTCCCTGAGATGCTCTTCCCAGTGCCTGATCAGTACTCACACATGAGGCTTCAACTTAGAAGTCTGTTTCTGAGATAATTACTTTTTCAACAAACCACAAAATTAGTCAATATTTCCTATTTTGTTGCCCCAAAGCCACCTTTAGAGCACCTGTCATGACCAAGAATAGTAATTGCCCCCTACAAGAATATACTTTGTCCCAGGCAATCCTAAGTATAAGGTGAGCATTAACTCATTTAATTACATCATCATTTGAGAACTGTTTGGTGAATGTCCATCTCCCTTGCCATACTTTATATTACCTGGGTCAGACACTATGTGATTTGCTTAATGCATTATCATTAGCCTCCAAGGGAGTACTGGCTTCAGACTAAAGCTAATACATGAGGTTTGCTTGCTACTATTTTCATTGTTGTTGTTGTTCTTGCTGTTGTTGCTGTTGTTAGTACATGTTTGCAGTATATGCAGTTTGCCATCATCTTATGGAGTGCCAAGATGTGCCTTCAGGAGATAATATCTCTGCTCAAGTTTCCTCAATGGCTGCAGTGAAGGTGAACTAGGATACTTGCGTTAAAGCAAGGGGAACATAACTAAAATGCTCAGTAAACAAGTGCATGCCACCCTTTGTCTGAAGGAGAGAATGGGAACCACCCTCCAGTATCTGGGACAGGGGTACTGGACCAACTTACCCATGGAGAAGGGAATAAAAGCTTCACTCTTCCTCAGTGCCCCCTTAGCATCCAGAAAGTGATCAGGGTTGAAGGTGTCTGGTTTTTGAAAATGATGTGGGTCATGGAGAGCAGTGGACAGGATTGGGTATACTTCCGTGTCCTAGGATACATTGCAAGATCAGAAGGTATTACTATTCCCTGCCCTCCACATGCAAAGACATAAGTAAATAGATACAACAAAACAAAACTGAAAGAAGGTTTCCCTGTTGAGAAGCCAGCAAGCAGTTGAGATGTGGGTTAAGAATCCAAAGAGGCGCAAGAAAGATGTGGGACACCAGCTTGTCTCACCTTGGGGAGGACGAACCCTCGGAAGGACGTGTCTTTGGTGACCACGTGGGGCACACCCAAGGGGACAATGTCCGCAAATCTCTGCATCTCACAGATGACTGCCTCAGTGTATGGCATTTTGGTTCGGTCATCCAAGGCTGGTGGGCGGTGTGAGCCAATCACCTGTTCAATTTCCTTTTGGACTCTCTCTGCACAGAAAAGGGGACAATGAACCCCACATCACAAAGACATTTCAGCAATGACTTTTTTTTGTTTGGACAGGTGAGCTGGAAATACTGTACAGAAAACTTTTATTCCATTCACACCTTCAAAGCAATCAGCTGTGGGAGAGAGCAAGAGGGACAAAATAACAAGAATTCGCACCCTTTAAAAATCTGTGAATGGTATAAATTATCTCCCCATATCCACAACTATACACACACACCACAGCTTTGCATGAATTTTATACGAAGAATTGAAAACTGCTCCTCTACAATCAATAAGAAATGAACCAAGGTTGTCAGTAGTTCCTAAAACATATAATAGCAGAAAAATTAATTCATGAACAACTGGATGATAAATGAATGAATGAATGAATGAAGGAATGGCTAAATCAGTAAATGAAAAGGCTGATGAATGAATGAGATGAAAAAATCAGTGAATAGGTATATGTATTTGATTTATCAATAATATATGGTTCAATTAATCTATTAATAAATGGTTCATAGAAAAATAAGTCAATAAACTCATAGATAATCATATGAATGCTAGATACAGAGAGGACTGTATAATGAATAAAGTAGTGAAGGTATGAGTAAATGAAGAAATAAGTGGAGGAAAGGCTTGAATGAAGAGTAATCCAGAGTGAAAAAATGTGTTATGAACTGAACAAATGAAAGAACGATGGATGAATGAAGCATGAATGAAGCATTGAAAGACTGTTGATAAGGAATGAAACCTTGTTCAAAGATAGATGAATGGGTAGATACATGCATAATTTAAAGAGCCAATGAATAAGTGAGAAGTATCAGTGTTCAAAGGATCAGCTCAAGTCAATTAATCCAAACGAATGGATAAAGCTATATGTTCTTCGATGAGTATAGATAAAAGAATCAGTAAATATACAGGTGAATTAATAAACAGATGCAAGAATGGATGGATTGTTCAGTTTCTCAGTGTGATAGGCAAAAACAGTAGAAAAACAGGTCAATAGATTTTTCACTTACAACTACATCCCCAGGACCAACTTAGTTGGTAGACTGTTCAAAGCCTGTAGAGCTCCTGGCACAAGTGCCCAAAGTTTTCTGTCACCAAGAGGTCCCCTCACCCCAACTCTGCAGCCCAAAGGGCATCACAAGGACTTCCCAACTGGATGTCCGTTGCCCACCTGTGATATGGGGATATTTGAGCAAAAACAGGAAGCCATAGCGGAGAGTTGTGCTGGTGGTCTCCGTGCCAGCAAAGAAGAGTGAAAGCGAGGTCAGGATGAGGTTCTTGTGGTGGAACTCAGTGTGCTGGTCAGACTTGTCCTATGTCCAGAGCAAGGCGACAGGAGAGGGTTAGGGGGTGCCGAAGCCTTGCTGCAGGAAGGGTCATCTGTCCCTCTGGACATGCTCCCTCTGTTTCTGGGACTCAGGCAGTCTGGCCTGCTTTGCATTTCTCTATCTTTGACATCCAGCTAGAAGTCTTTCTGTCTGTCTGTCTCTCTCTCTCTATTTTTCTTTATTCTACCTGGCTCTGTTTCAGTCTCTCTCCATCTCTTTGGCTTGTTTCTCACTTTTGGGGTTCCCATTCTTTTTCGTCCTCTAGGGTGTTTTATTGCTTCTTTTTGCCCTTTGCCCTGATTTTTTCCTCACCTAGTAATTGCCTTTCTCTTTCCCTCCCATTTCAGTTTCTCCCTCCTATCTTTTTCTGCCTTCTACCTCATCTGCTTTTCGCTTCTTCTCCTGATTTCCCTTGTCACATTCTGTCCTCCGCATCCTCTGATTTCCCCTCCCCTCTCTCTTTCCCTACCTCTTTCTCTTCCTTCACTTCACCTCCCCATCCTCCCCTCCTATCCATTGCCCTCTCCCCGATCTCACTTTGTCCATGCGGAGCAGGAAGGTATCGATGAAGTCTCTGGGGCTGCTGGGGTCCAGGGTGTCACGGTGTTCCTCCACACTGTGGCCAATGAAAGTGTTGATTTCCTGCATGTTATTGTAGATTTCCCTGTGTGTGCCAGGAAAGTGTTTCAGGATGTTGGGGAAGAGCTCAAGCACCTGCAAGAAAGAACGGGCAGCAAGGTCCACGTAGGCTCAGTTAGCAGATCGCAGAGGGAAGAAACTGTGCTGGGCCCCAAACCTCCATGAGAAAGCCCCATCCCTCCATCTCTCTCTCCTCTGAGTCTACCTCTCTCCTTCTCTTCAGGAACACACACGCGCACACACATACACACACACACACACAAACACACACCACTTTTGTGTCCCAGAATCTATCGCTATCCTTTATTTACCTTTCTCTGTCTTCTTTTCCTCCCTTCTCTCTTTCCCAAGCCTACATTTTCTTTGTCTCTTCCACTTTATTTCTGCATCCCCTTCACTCCGGTTTGTTTGTCTCAGCCTTTTGGTCCCTGCTCACTCTCTCTCTCTCCCTTCAGGTCTCAGAGTCCCCAACCTCTTTGCTCTCTGCACACTTCTCCCAGCCCTAAGCGGGTTTCTGGGCCCCCCAAAGCCTGGGATCATTCCCCCTTCCCTAGCTGCTTCCCTCACCCCCATCCTCCATCATTACCCCACCTGGCTGGAAAAGGAGCTGCCCAGTGAAAAGGACTTATAGAACAGGTCCAGCAGCCTCAGGAACTGGTGATCTTTGTAGTCAAAGCGTTTTCCAAAGACAATGGAGCAGATGATGTTGGCAGTAGCCGACTGAAAGAGGAATATGAGGTCCACAAGGCCTCCTGGGGAAAACGGCATCACTTCATGAGAGAAGATTTAACAGCCTGGTGAGCATTTGGCTGCTGTCCTGTCTCTGTGCCTGCTGTCACTCCATAATCAAGATAAGAATAGCAGTGAACTCTGACACTCCTCAGCATGTACTCTCTGCCAGGCTGTATTCTAAGCACTTCTTCTGTTATTTTAACTTAATTCCTCCACAACATTGTAAGGAAGATGTGATTCTATTATTCTACCCATTTTATAGATGGATGAATGATTTGTGGTTAAATGATTTGAATAAAATAACACAGCTACCCATTCCTGGGGCCACATTCAGACCAGGCAGCACAGAGCCAGAGCCAGTGCAGTTGGCCCCTTCCCTGCATCTCACCCCAGGCCCCTGCTCCATCTCTGTACGCTGATAAAGGTAAGGCCTGGAGAAGAAGTGCAGCATGTCCAATCCATTGCTTGTGCAAGTTTGAAAGGCTCGATCACTTCCTCACTTCTTTGTCCAAGTTCAAAGCCCAGTCACTCCCCCTGCATCTCTTCCCTCCTCCAGGGCTTCGGTGAGAAGGAGGGAGGCTCAGAGCCCAAGGACCTCTGGTAGGTATGGTCCTCCATCTCTCTCTGTCTCTGTCTCTCTCACACTCTCTCTCTCTCTCTGTCTCTCTCTCTCTCTCTTTCTCTGTCTGCCTCACATATCTACTCTCACTCATTTATAGACTATTCCCTGACACTTGGCTATGCATTTCTAATTTCTGTCTCACTTTCTGCCTTTGTTTTTGCTTCCTCTCTGAGTCTCTGCCACCCTTGTCTCTTTCTCTTCCTTTTGCTCCCTCTATGTCTGTCTCTGCCTCTTTCCTGTCTCTGCCTCCGTCCATTTTCACTCTCAAGTCTCTCTATCCCTGTTGCTTCTCCCCAGCTTCAGAATCTCCACACATGACAAAGACCTGGCAGGAATGAAAGAATGCTAACTGCGGAGGTGCTAACACAGAGTCCTGTCACCTCTACCTCCCTGTTACTGAGGATAAAACAGGAACTGAACATGCTTCGCAGGAGCAGAGCACCCACCTGCTCCTTTGCTCACTGCCTGCTCCACAGCACTTGTTCAAGGGAAGGAAAATACAGTTCACTATTTTCACATCTGCTGTTCCTCTTTTGCCCTTTGCTTTCTTTTACACAAGCAAGCCTTCTGTAAGAGCTTTTGACACATACAGTTAACCCATGAATTGTTTTCTCTGTATCCTTGTCTTCCTTTCCTACCCATCCCAACCCTCATGACTCACCCCGAGATTTCTGCAGCTCCTCCACCATGCACTGAGCCTCCTCCTGAATCCGCTCCTCCACGCTCCGCTTTCCCATCCCAAAGTCCCTCATGGTGGTCAACGAGAATCTCCGAAGGGCCTTCCAGCGTTCCCCATTAGCAAAGATCACCCCTAGTGGTGTAAGAGAGGCATGGGTTAGAGGGGAAGATCAAGGAGGTGAGAACCCTCCCCACTCTTTTCCTCCCTTCTCACACTCAAGTTCCCCAAATCCCAACCCCCTTCCCACCCCATCCCAATGCCTTTGAGGTCCTCACCATATCCCTGGAAGACAGGCTCCATGGTAGCAATTGTTCCCCGGCCAGAGAAAGCCTCAGCTTGGTCCACCAGGGCCTCCCGTATGGCCTCTGGCCCACACAGCATGACTACGGGCCTTGGCCCCAGGTACACGGTGAACACATCTCCATATTTCTCTCGGAACTGCCAAGCATACCCACAGAGGTTGCTATTAGTCAGTATATGCACCAGGAGTTAAAACATTAAAATGCTTAAATGCACATTGGTAATTAGGTGCCACTCACAGGATCATCAGTCCCTTTCAGGGAGATATAGAATCCACAGACATGTAACATCATCTGCATTTCTCAAAGCTAAACATAGGCACACTTAGCAAGTTCACTACAAAATATTTGCTCAACAGAAATGTGTACTTGCTCATTAAAAAAAGTCTTTTCCCATCCCAGCAATAACTCAAAAGTCAGGGGTCTCATGAATGGAAGCAAGGCATGATTTCTACTGAGGCAAATTCTCTTCCCGTTGTGAACTTAATACAATGGTGAGACAGGCATAGGAGAGACACTTATATTCGAAAAGGGAGAAATAGGAAAGAAGGGGTAACTGGTCCAAAATCCAGCAAAGTAAACAATATTTTATGTTCATGATATATAATAGGCAACTAAAATGAAAACTTGGGTTGGGGATGTAGCTCAGTGACATAGTACCTTTGTGGCAAGCACAAGGTCCTGAGTTCAATTCTTGGTACTAAAAAAAGCTGAGCATGGTGGTGCAGGCCTGTAATTCCAGTACTCGGGAGGCTAATGCAGGAGGATCCTTGTGTGTTAACAGCCAACCTGGGCTACAAAGTGAGCTCAAGGCCAGCCTGAACTGCATAGCAAGTCTGTCTCAAAAACATAAAAAAATTTAAAAAATGAAAACTTATTCACTTGGGGTCTCCATGTATCCAATCAAACCCTATTAAGGGGAAGGGCACTGGGTCTATGGGCCCCAAAGCCAGGCAGCCTTTCCCAGGTCTTGACTAAGTCCTTTTGAGTTACACTCAGGGCCACCATTTGCTTGCGCTTTTGTTTACTCAAGTGCACATATTTACTGAGCCCTTACTGTGAGCCAGGCACTGTATTGGGCACTGTGCTCAGGGAAACGTAGCACTGCCATAGACAGCACTAACAAGGAGAAGCAAGTGATGCACAAGAGCTCATCGTGGCCCCCATGCCATGATTTCACACACCTGTAGCCCCAGGACTCAGGAGGCTGAGGAAGGATAATAGCAATGAGTTGGAAAACAACCTGGCCTACAGAGAAAGACCCTGTTTCAAAAAAAAAAAAAAAATAGAGGTTATCATAGGAGCCTGACCATGTCTGAGGATCAAGAAAGACTTCTCTGGGTAAATCATACTTGCCTGGATATCTAAGAAACCCCAACAATGAGTCAGGGTGGCTGGACACTAGGCAAGGGACAGTCCATAAAGGATCTCATTTGCCCAAAGCTTTTCCTGCGGGGAAACTGAAACATTTGCTGCAAGGAAGAATGGGCAATGCTGGGTGTGGTGGTACACACCTGTATTCCGGTACCTGGGAGGCTGGGGCAAGAGAATAGCTGTAAATTGGAGGCCAGTCTGGACTATGTAGTGAATTCAAGGCCAGCCTGAACTACAAACCCAAATTCTCTAAACAGTTCTGAAGAAAGAGATGTAACAGGGAAGTCCAAAGGAAAAGCAAAAGTAAGGGAGGAAACACCAAAAAATAAAGTGGGCTTTTGTTTCTTTGTTTGTCTTTTTGAGTCAGGATCTCTCTATGTAGTTTTCGTTGGCCTTGAACTCACTATACAGCCCAGGTTGATCCTGAATTTGAAGCAATCCTCCTGACTGAGCCTCACATGAGCTGGGATTATAGGTGTGTATCACCATGCCCAGCTCAAAAATAAAGTTTCAAAGCTAAGATATATCCAGGGTCTCATCAAAAAAAGACTACATAAGGCAACACTTTACAAATAAGTGCTTTATGCCCAAAGTTGTTTTTTTAATGATACTGACATAATGCCCTAAAGAGCAGCATTTTAATATATAAAATTGTTAATTTGACAAACGTTTTATTTTTTCAAAGAATTCATGTCCATCTTCAATTCCTAACATCCTCAGTCCAAAATTATTGATATTCTGCCAACATGAAAAGGACCCAGAAGCATCCCTAAACCTTAAAACTCTCATTTCACTGTAGCATCATCTCAAGCTTGACTGTAAATTTTTAAGCATTAGTACGAAATTGAAGAAAGTTGATTGCACAGTCCAAATGTGAAGAATTGTTGGGCACTCTGGTTGTCTTTGTTCTTCTGGCCTTGCCCAACTCGATTTCACCCTACTCCTGACAGTTCATTGTGGTAAGTACATTGACTTGAACAAGAACTGTCCAGCACATTAGTGAAACACAGTTCTGGGTGTGTCTGTGGATGACTGGCATGTAGCCCAGCAAACGGAGGCAGGAAGACTCACCCCAGATGTGGTAGCATCAACCAATAGGCTTCTAGCCTGCACTAAATAAAAAGGGAAAGAAAGAAGTTCCTGTTTCAGAAGAACTCCGGTCTTCACCATTGCCTTTGGAAGGCAGTCTCCAGTTTCTTCAGTCTCCTAATGAAGTCCTCTAATGGCACTCTACAATGAGCTTCCAGACCTTCCACTTTTGACTGATGCTGCATCCTTAATCCTGGTAATACCCACATTAGGACAAAAGTTCACCCAGCCACATTCCAGACACCACAGCTGTGTTGGAGATCAGCCCTGGCCTTCCTGAGCCACAAAGGAAAGCCTCCAGAGAGTACTCTGAGATGAGTACCTGCAAGCCCAGTACTGGTGACTCAAGAAGCCTGGAATTGAGCTGGACCTCACCAAGCCAACCTGCCCAGCAGCACCTGTATTTGAGTAAAGCTCCAGGCTTCAAACATGATGTGCCTGAGAGATCCATGCTGGTTGTTTCAGAAGATCACCAAGCATTTAGTCTTCTCTCTGGACCAGTCACCTCTCTCTTCTTGACTGTTTCATGTGCATGGTTTGGATATGTTTGTGTTTCCCACAGATTTATATTTTGGGAGCTTGGTCTCCTCATTGCCCATGTTGAGAGGTGGTGGAGCTTTTGAAAAGTGTGGTGCAGTGGAAGGTAATTATATCCTGTGGGCCAGGCCCTTAGAATGGATTAATGCTGGTCTTTGAGAATGAGCTATTCCTTAAGAATGGAGATTGTTACAAAGCAATGCCACCCCCATACTTGGGCCCTGCTGGCATGTTGCAAGTTCCCTTTCTTCTCTTGTACCATAGGAAACTCTCACAAGTTGTTGAATAGATGGTAGTGCCTGGTCTACAACTGTCATCCTCTCAGACTGTGAGCTAAGTAAACCTCTTTCCTTTATAAAGACTCAGCCTCAGGTGTTTTCTCACAGGAATAGAAAACAGAGTAAGTTGCCATGAGGCTCTATTTTGCCTACAAAGCTGGACCACATTATTGCTTACTGCTCCCCTCACTTCAGCTAATTCCTCATGTTGGTGCCACAGCTCAGTGCCTGCCTCCTCTCCACTGTGTGTGCCATGCCCTCCCATTCACCTGGGCCTATTTCCTCACCTTTCCCAAAGTCCATCACGAATGCTTTCTTATCCTTGCTCATCCTCACTCCTCCAGGCTTTAAGAAGATGTTTAAGTCCTGTCTCTTATTCAAAGCCTGTCTGGGCCTTCAAATGATCTTAACACTCCTTTTTCTTTCTTGTGTTCATTATCATCCACAAGTCAGTCCCAGTGCCATCCCTGGCACCAAAAACCAAAAATAAAGAGATGATATTATCAAGAAATAGAGCATTGATCAGAAAAAAAAGCTATTGATAACAAAGGACTAAGAAGCCCAGGATTCCCAGAGTGCGGGCTCCACACAAGGAGAAGAGGACAAACGAGCTTGATGTTACTGTCAGTGCCCCAGCTCTCCCAACACAGTCAGTGTGGATTAATTATTCATGATTACAAGTAGCTGATCTGTCCAGTGTGGTAGCATAATCATGCTGTCCTAGCCACTTGCAAGGCTGAGACAGGTGAATGGCAAATTCAAAGCCAGCTTAGGCAATTTAACAAGAGTCTGTCGGGCTGGGGATTTAGCTCAGCGGCAAAAGCGCCTGCCTGGCAAGCGCAAGGTCGTGAGTTCGGTTCCCGGTACCGGAGAAAAAACCAAAAAAAAAAAAAAAAAAAAAAAAGATGTTTATAACAAGAGTCTGTCTTAAAATAAAAAAAAGGTTCCAGCTGTAGCAGAGGGCAGAGACCAGGGTTCCATCCCCACTACAGCAAACAAGTACATAATAAAAGTAGATCATGAAACATGAAACCTTGGCTGCAAAGCAGTGGCAAAGAGCCTAGTAATTGCCGGATTCCGTTTATGATTGATAAACATAAATAACTTTTTTTTGCACTATATGGCTTTATTATGATCTGAAGTTGCTGAAGTATAATAAAAATTTTCATACTGAACATTTAACATGCAACAAAGGAGCCTGACATTGATATGTGTCTATGCTATCAGTGAAGAAATCAAGATATTTTCCCCTGTTTTATTCATACTTTACTAGGGTTTTTTTTGGGACAGAGTCTCACTATGTGGCCCAGGATGGCCTCAAACTCATGGTGACCCTCCTGCCTCAGGCTGCCCAGTGCCAGGATTGTTAGTATATTTGTGGTACATAACAAATATGTTGATCATGGGGAACTGGTATATGCAGACATCACATCTTGATCCGGTTTACTTCCCCTTTCTCTCTCCTCCCTCTAAACACTGTTCACTGCCTCTGTTTTCTCCCTCTTCCTTATGTTTGTACTCAAAGGGACGCAGGTCAGTCTTTGTTCTCTATACCGCTACAGGCAAAATGTTCTTGACTGGTGCTGCTGCCCTTTTTCTCTCACTTCTAAGTAGACACCCAGCATGCAGCAGAAGACAATGAAATTCTACACCTGAGGCTTACACCCAGACCATTCTATATGCCCTGTCATCCTCTCCAAGGACAGTGTCTCACACAATTCCACCAGAGGCAGAACATCTATGACAATCTGACCCCATCCCCCAGGAGTCAGGATCACATCCTTTACACACTGATCTCCCCACCCAGCCTCTGAGCCCAAAAGGAGACTTTGCTCTTCTAGCCCACACTGGAACCCCACCCATCTGTGTCTCACCTGCAGGAATGATTTGAGCAGCCCTTTTCTGTCCATCTGCAGCAGGTTCCCCAGCAAGGGCAGAGGACGTGGACCTGGTGGGAGACGGCCATGGGTCTTTGGGTGGCCCCTGAACATGAGAAGTAAGAGGCCCGTGAGGAGAGCAAGGACCAAGAGGACGGTGAGCCCCATGGTTCTGGTCTGACTGCTGTCCACCCCTCTGAAGCCTTGTGCTGAGCCTTTTATCCTCAGCCTTCGTCCTCACCCAGTTATGCAACTTCATCCATTCTCCGCCTCCTCTCTCAAGCTTTTCCAGGGATATGATTCTAGAAGAGAGTTACCAGGCAGCCATACTTTCTGTTTGGGCTGCTGGGTAACCTGCTCACTCCCCAGCACTCTAGCTCCTCCTTAGATGTTGGCAGAGATCCTGGGAAAGAGTGGCCAAGGTGCTCAAGAGTGTATGTCTGGTAGCTGAGTTCATGTGTTGTCAATTTTCTGTGTGCTTTTGTCTCCTTCGTTTAGTCTGTCCAGTTTCGTTTGCAGCTGTGTACACTTGGATGCTTTTTATATATGGAGCACTCCTTTATATGTCAATGTGAATGTGTGGTGAGGTGTTTCTGTGTGTACCAGTTCAAGTGTGCTCTTGTGTACATTCTTGCATGTGTGGGAGCGTCTGTGTATTTATTTGGTTTCACATGAGAAGTTGTGTTTGCATTTGAGTAGCAGAGTGGTGGGGACTTCTGCTCCTGTTTGGGAAACCCAGTAGGGTGCTCACTCCCAGCAATTTAGCCCCCCAGTACTTGTGGTGAATCTGCATGTGCTGGCTGTGCTTGTGTTGGCATAATTGTATGTCTCCTAGGCACGCTTTGTAAGGCTTGCAGATATCCCAGTTTCTGCCCTACACACTCTGCTCTGTGACAGCCACTGGTGGGAGTGATGAGTGAAGTGGAAACAGAGGAGGGATAAGAAGTGCAGGACTGGTGAGACTCATCAGTAGAGGGAGGGGGAGGAAGAGAGACAGAGAGAGAGAGAGAGAGATCTGGTAGATAGAGCACCGGGATCCTCTTGGTATGATTGCTCCCATTAGTGCTGGGTGGTTCCCACCAGGCCTCTGGCTGTCTTTGTAGTGCAGAAATCTCTGGCACTCTCTGTCTGTCAGTCTTTCTCTCTGTCTCTCTCTTCCTGTCTCTCTGACTCCGTGTCTGTTTCCCACTCAGATCGTGAGGTCCATTGTTCCTTAGTCTGTTGTCTGCTGTAACAGAATACTAGAGATTGGGTGACTGACAGTGAACTGGAATTCACTTGGCTCATGGTTCTGGGTGTGGAGAAGTTCAAGCCTTTACAATGGCATCTGTTGAGGGCTTTTTGCTGCATCATAGCATTGCTGAAAAGCACAGAGAATGCCTCAGGTATGTTGTCGGGAAAAGGAGGAGTGGAACTCTCTCCCTATCTCACTCCCACAGTGACACTCTACTCATGAGTCCAGAGCCCTCCTTAGCTGATCAGCTCTTTTTTTAAAAAAGTGTCACTTTGTATGAGAATGTAAACAAATAAAATCACAATGAAAATTGGTATGGACATTCTTCCAAGAACTACAAGTAGAAGTTCTATTCGACCCAGCTATTCCCCTTCTACATATCTTCCTTAAAGAGTTACAGACATCACGTCATAGTGATATAAGCATATCCATGTTTATAGCAGCACCTTTCATAATAGCTAAATCTTGGAAACAGCCTATGTCCATCAACAGAGAAATGAATAAAGAAAATATGGCATTCATCACAATGGAGACCTACTCCGGCATAAAAAAGGACAAACTAGAGACATTTGTAGGAAAACAGATGAACTTTGAATCCCTAATGCTAAGTGAAATGAAGAAAACACACAAGCTTCAAAATCACACTGTTTCTCTTCCATGAGAAACCCAAAATATGAACAAAATAAAAGATAAATAGTAAGAGGGTCAGGGATATACCTCAGGGGCACAGCACCTGCGTGGCAAGAACAAGGTCCTGAGTTTGATTCCAGATACGAAAAATAAATAAATAAAGGGAATGAGGTGAGGTACGGGAGGATAAGGAGCAGCAGTGTCAGTTTCGCCCTGTTAAACAAACTTCACCAGGACTCTGACCTCCACAATTGAGTCATACTGTGTTGATCCAGGACAGAGGGCAGAGAAACGCAATCTTTTAGAGGAGGAACCTGTACTTTTCTGACCCTGGAGTGGTGCCACCACAGACTTTCCTGACCCCAAGACCTTGCCCACTCTGTGCTGCGTCCTCTGATACTGAGAATGGCTCTTCATTGTAGCCTGAGACTTCCTGGTAGAAAGGCACAAAGTACTTTACACAGAGTCCTCACACTTTGAAGGATGTATTCTTGTTCTCCCCCAATATCTAGATGGAGACAGTGAAGCCTAAACAAACAGAGAGTTTTACCCAAGGCCACATACCAGGTGAGAGATATGTTTATCAGATGTGCTAACCAAAGGCCACATGTGGCCACTAAACACTTGTGATAGCACTGTCTCAGTTACTTTTCTCTCATTACTGAGACAAAATGCCTGACACTCAGAATTAAGGAAGGAAAGGTTTATTTAGCTCACAGTCTGTGGAGGTTTCAGTCCATACTCAGTTGGCTCCAAGGCAGGGTTGCCCATGGCAAAGGGCAACCTTTCATGGTGGTGGCAGAATATAGCCAAAGCAACAAGAGCAAAAGGGAAGAGGAGTGGTGGCAAGCAGCCTCTTTCTCTCCCTTACATATACAAACTATCCACCCCAGGGTGGCTGTACCAATCATACCCATAGTCCCAGCATTGCATCAAGGATCAATCAAAAAGTATAAAAGCCCACCACATGACTGCATGAGGCTTGGAGGGGAGGGGACATCCAGACAGAAACCATAACAGGGACCAATTCAATTTTTTGGTTTTTTGTTTTTGTTGTTTTGTTCTGTTTTGTTTTGTCTTGTTCTGTTTAGTTTAGTTTTGTTTTGAGACAAGGTCTTGCTATGTTGGTCAAGCTGGCCTTGAACTGACTTTTAGCCCAGGCTGGCCTTGAGCTCCTAGTGATCTGCATGCCTCATACCCCCATGTACTGGGGCACCACCATATCCAGCTGAATGAAACTGTAAACTTAATTATTATCTATAAAACTTGACAATTCAGCTATTGGAAAACTTACGTAGGTTTAGAAACAATTTAGGGATGTACATTATCTTCTTCATTGGTAGACTTCATAAAAATCTAAGTACAAATCAAAGATTTCTATAGAAAATGTAGAGTCCATATTATAAACATGCTATAATTGCAAACGCACACACCAAATTTCAAAGGCATGATATTTATTGGAAAGATGTGGTGAGAGGCAGAGGCAGAAGCACATACAGGAAGAAACTCAGAGACAGACAAAAATGCAAAGATAAATGAAGGGTAAAATATAGAGACAGAGGCAGAGAAAAGGTGCCAAGAGGCCCTGAGAGGGAGGCACACACTAAGGGGCACAGGGGCCTACAGGGGTGCTTGTTGCCTCCCTGTCACTGAAGCTGAGACCCATAGCAACCCTATCTACCCAACACAGCCACCCCCATCTCATCAGGCTGTAAGTGTATTTTAAAGACACTTTATTTCCTGTATTGGCCTGACTTCTCACCATGGTCTTGCTTGCCTGAGTTTAAACTTCTCATGGGAACTATCTAGCCCATACCCTCTCCACAAGTGTCTCCTGTGGCTATCTGTCACCAGAAGCCCTGAACTAAAGTTGTTCTCTAACTCAGTCTTAAACAATAAACCCCTTCCCAAATGGCTCCTGGTTCAGTCTTCTGAAATATGGCAGCTGCTTCACTGGATTTCTTGTGCAACTCTAACTGTTGTGTGGAAGGAGTCACGTTTGGACAACATTCCCACGCTGTTTGTGCAGTTTACAATGGCCATGGCCTTTTCTTAGGGCTACTGCTGCTGGCCCAGTCACTTGTTTGTCCCTGTACCTGCAGACCCTCCACTTACCTTCTCTCTTCCCTGGCACTGAACTCATCAATGATCAGCTCAGCTGGTAGGTAGACCAGCACCTGTGCTTCCCCATGTTAAGGGAAAACAAAATGTAGAGCAGGCTTGGAGTTTGTTGGCAGCAAGATCCAAGGCATCGTGTCCATGGGCTCCAAAACCTCACTGTCTTAAAGCTAGCTCTGACTGTATATGTCATCTTGAGCAGAGAGTCTGGTTAAATCTGTCCTTTCATCCAGTTTTGAAGTGAATTGTTTGTTTCAATTACTATTGACTTTGAGGAGTTTTTTTATATATTCTACACTCACATACTTTTTCAGATATATGTTTTTCACATGTTTTGTCCTAGTCTTAGTCTCTGGCTTATCTTTATATATTCTTAATAGTGTACTTTGAACAGCAACAGTTTTTTAAAAAATTTGATTAAATGTAATTTGTCATCATTTCCATGTGCAAACCACAAATCTGTGCAAACCACAGATTTTATCTCACGTCTTCGTTTAGTAATTTTATAATTTGAAGTTTCATCTAGGCCTCTTGACAGTCAATTTTTGCCCAGAGTGGCAGATACGAATCATACTTCCTCTTTTGCCTTCGTGACCTGCAGATATTACCTTTCTCCTTCATCTCCCCTGTCATGGGACAGCCAAAGACACAGAAACGGTGAGAAGAAAAGCAGAGAGGATGACAAACATGCAGTTGGTGAGACTCAGACGCAGGTGTGTCCCACTTGGAGAGAAACAATCAGGTGTGATCTGGGAGCACCAGGACACAGCTGTGCAAAGCCTGTCTCTCTGGGACGCCTGTGTCTCTGAACAGACACTTCTCTTCATGTCTTTTTATAATCTGTTTCTCACTGTCTGAGTGCTCCTTTCAGTTCCTCATGACCCAATTTCTATCACCCACATGTCTATATATCTCTTTCTCTCTTCTGTGTGTCCTCTCTGTCTCTGTCTGTCTCTGTCTCTGTCTCTGTCTCTGTCTCTCTCTGTCTCTGTCTCTCCCACCCTCCCTTTCTCTTTATTTTTCTCCAAACTCTGAAAACAGAAACACAGATTGGGGTCCAGTGTCCACCATCCGCAAGTCTGTCTCTGTCATCACGGAGATACCCTATGTGCTTGAGAGGGATTCCAAGGCAGTGCTTTGTTTGAGTCTGACAATGAAAGCCATGAACCCTAGCCTCTTCATCGATTCCTCTGTCGCTCTAAGATAAAGACAGGCCGGCAAAGT